GCAGATGGAGGGCGGGCGGTGTTCGACATGTGGCTCTCGCCTTAGCGCCGCGCACAATCGTTTTAAAACTGCGCAAGAGCTTCACGGATTGAGCATCGCCCGTTTCAAAATGTGGTAATCGCCTTAGCGTTGCGCACATTCGCTCTAAACAGTTGCGAGAGCTTCACATGTTGAGGATCAGCCGTTCTTAACATGTAGTTAGCGTCGCTTTAGCGCCGCGGACATTCTATCTAAGGAGTTGCAAGAGCTTCACGGATTGAGGATAACCCGTTTTCAGAATGTGGTTCTCGCCTTAGCGCCGCGCACATTCGTTTCAGAAATTCGCAAGAGGTTCACGGAATGAGGGTGGTTCCTTTTCAAAATATGGGTCTCGTCTTAGCGCCGCGCACATTCGTTCAAAAGAATTGCAAGAGTTTCACGGATTCCCACGATCAGCGTAACAGAAATGGTTTTGCAAGGAGTCAGCACCTTGACGTTGGTTCGCGGTGTTGAAATCCCAAGAACGGCTTTCTGACACGATCCAGGATGTTCAAGACGCAACAGTCAGGTTGATCCGTGGCGTTGGAATCCCGAGGACAATGTTTTGGCATGCTCCCGGGTCTTCAAACGGTTGTATTCCAACGAAGCAGACTCCTCAATGGAAATGCACCGTTGTAGGGGCTTATGAAGAGGGAGCTTGGAGGGAGGGTGTATTTCAACATCGTTGATGGCTCTCAGGTTTACACTGGTCCTCCTCCTCCTCCTCCTCCTCCTCCTCCTCCTCCTCCTCCTCCTCCTCCTCCTCCTCCTCTCCTCCTCCTCCCCCTCCTCCTCCTCCTCTTGGATTCGGGGCTCAAGGGACGGGGGGGAATGCAAACGGGGGTCAGCCAGAGCGCCACATCTTGCGGGATCCCACAGAGCCAGGGCTGCATCGACCCGGGCCGCAGGATCCCGAAGAGCCCGACCGACCCAGCCTTGGCTTGACCCGGCCCGTGGACTCCCGACGGAGTTCACGGTCCACTCCTCGTGCTTCGATGCGTCCTCTGGGCCCCCCTCTGGGCCGCGCACGTGCCTCGGGCCATGCCCTCGGGCCTCTCTCTCTTGGAGCCGCCCCCCTCTTGGGACGCCCCCGCTCCGACTCCCCGCGCACGGGCCTGGAGCTCTGCAGGCCGCCGTCGCTGCCTTTGGGCCTGCCCCCCCTGCGCGCCTCGACCTCCTGGCCGCCCCCCGCGCGCACGCGCCTCTGCCGGCCCCCCCTCTCTCGCCGCGCGCCGCCCCGCGGCGGTCCCGCCGCACTGCTCTCTGGCTCGGCGTCGCTCGGACGTGTGCCTCTTTTTCTCGGCGACGGCCATCGGGGAGCATCCTTGCTCAGTTGGCGAAGAGAAACACGCACGACATCGCAAACATACACGAGGAATGGGCGTCCGAGCGATGGCGAGCTGGGCGCCCTCCGGTGCAGGGCCCGCCCGCGGCGCTCGGCCGCGGAGCCGTTGCGCCCGCTCGCGCGCGGCTCCCCCTCCCCTGCCATCCTCCCTCGTCCTCCACCACCCACCAAACCACCCCAACCCAACCCGAAGGCTCAGATTTACCCTCGATTTCTAGTGGGGTGGGTGGGTCCGGAAACATCGAAAAAAACACATATGCAGCCCATACCCCTCCCAACCCGAAATTCGGGTCTTCGGGTTGGGTTGGGGTGGTCTGGTAGGTAGTCAGTCCTCCTCCCTCTTGTCTCAGGTATCTGGGTCTCTGCGTCGTCTCTCGAACGGTTGGGCCTGGCCACCACCTTTGCACTGCTCGGGATGCGGTCCCGATCGCCTGCTCCAGGCCTACACGGTGGAGTCCTCGGCCCATCAGTTGGGGTGCCGCTGGCAGTTTTCATCATCAGGTGCTTGCGCTTGGAAAAAAGGTCGTGCCTGTCCCTCTACAGGAATATTCAAAAATAGTATCAAAAACATTGTGTGGGGACGATTGTTCTGCCATGTTTTGATCATTTCGGGATATGTGTTGACTATGTTTTATGTCTTATCCAAAAGAGGAGGAGGAAGGGGGGGTGAGGAGGAGGGGGGAGGAGGAGGAGGGGGGAAGAGGAGGAGGAGGAGGAGGAGGAGGAGGAGGCGGGGGAGGGTTCGTCCGAGCCCCGTGAAGTTCGGTGGCTGCTTTCCCGAGCTACTGCCCCCGCTCGCCTCGCCTTTCCCCCCATCTGCGAGCCTCCACTCCGTATCCGAGCTCTACCTCGGGAGGGCGTTCTCAGAGCAATCCATGCGCAGTTGGTGAAACGCTGGCGCGCCAAGGCAAAGTCCGACGCAATGGAGGGCTTCCAGTCGGCGTTGTGCGCTGGCGTCGCGGGGTCGGACTCTGCGCGGCGGCGCCATGGGTCCCCCCGTGTAGGGGGACAGGCCCGACCCAGCTCTTGTCTTAGGTCGGCGCCAGCCAGTTCGGGTCATCGAGAACCCCGCTTATCTTTTAGGTCTTGTATGCTGCGCTCCCCTGTGGCACTGCTTGCTTGCAGCAGGCGGCCACGACGAGGCGATACACGGTCTCTTGTCGAGCACTCTGTTGTTTCTGTCTCCGAGAACGGTACCCATTGGCCACTTCTAATGTTTCGAAAGTTCTTTGTTTTTTTTGTTGGGGGGGCCAAGATCCTTTCATTTCTAATTGTTCTATCTTGGGCCTCTTCCAGGCCACTAGGGAGGGGGCAAGGAACAATTAGAAACGAGCACAATTAGAAATGAGCACGACTAGAAATGAACGACGTGTATGTGCCCTCTCCGACCTTCGATCGACGTCCCTCTCCCTTGCAGATTTGCCAGGGCAGGTTTCCCCCGCCCCCGTTTTCTGCCTGGTCCCCCCCCCTAGAATCCTTCCCCCCTTTCTCGTCCTCATTCCTCGGAGCTTGGTAAACCGCCTACCCTGACACGTCGATTGGCGAATTGGCCGCTTTCGGTTCGCGAGAGGGCGTCGCGGCCGTCACTTTTGCTGGCCCAGGTCCGTCGGTTCCGGTCCTTCCCAGGCCGTTGTCACTACAGGGTGGTGCGCAAGGGAGGCTTGTCCGCCGCCGACTTCCCCCCCTATCCCCCCTGCCGCGCAGGGGAGGAAGAGGAGGAGGAGGAGGAGGAGGAGGAGGAGGAGGAGGACGAGGAGGAGGAGGAGAGGAGGAGGAGGAGGACGAGGAGGAGGAGGAGGAGGGACCTGTCGGCGATCCTGTCCCCCCCGCCGCGCAGGAGACCCTGATAGAGGAGATCCCGGTGCACGAGCTGAGCACCATCTGGCTGCCCTTCTGCATCCTGGCCTACGCGCTGCGCAGCCCGAGGACCTCGCCGGGGGCCGCGCCCCCCCTGGCCCGACCGCTGCGTTTTTTTTGTTGTCATGCCTTGTTTCGCCGATCGGCTTCATGGTGGACTTCTCCCCCCTGGACGTCGACTTGGTCGCGTTCATCCTCACGCAGCACTTGAGGATGGTGTTTACGATGCGCCTTCGACGGCAACACCACACCGCTCCCCCTCCGGATTTTCGCCTCTGGCTTTTGCCCAATGCGTTCTTTTTCCTGTGCAAGCTCCTCGGCACCGCCAGCACCCCGGGCCCCGCCCACTCCGGCCGCCTGGGGCCCCGCCCGCCTGTGCCCTGTCTCCCCAATTAGAGCTGTGCGTAGCCCGCCTAGCTTTTAGCGGACGAGGTTCGCTCTCGCCCCGCCGACCAAAATGTTTCGCCCGATCGGCGCCAGCCAGCTCCCGCCCCCCCCCCCCCCCCATGGAGCACAGTCGGCCCAGATCAGTATCGGGGGCGGCAAAGAGGTGGGTGATGAAAAGGGTGGGGGGTATCATGGCGGGGGCCATGATATTTCCTCCGGTTTTTCACGGCGCCTCTTCTCATTCCATTGCGTCCCTGGCCCCCCCGCGCTGGGCCGCGCACGTGCTGCCGGTCATGATTTGAACACCCCCCTCTTGGACCCTTTTTGGCCGCTCCCGATAGTAGGTCGACCCTGCCAAATCAAGGGTACCCTTGTGTCCCGTGTCTCGCGACCCATGCCCCCTACGTTCTTGTGGCAGCGTGGCCCTCGCAGGGGTCGTGTGTCCCCTCGCGTGTCCTCTCCAATCAAGGCCTGACTGTAGGCCTTGGCTTCTTGGGGCGCCTCTTTGGAACAGGTGGGGTTTCCCCCCTCGTGGGACGCACCTGCTGCAAACACTTGCATGGAGCACAGGTCCGGCGCCAGACCCCCCCCCCCCCCTTCCGCCCAGCGTCGAAACGCCGAATAAACACAACGCTCGCGAAACGGAGCGAGGGGAAATCAAGCTCAAGTTGGGCGTGTCCTTCTACAGGAGGAGTAGACAAAGTTATTATTATAGCAAACAGTATGGGGACGATTTCTTCTATTCTTGGTTGACCATGTTTGCACATGTTCCTCGCATTTGCTACTTGTCGTCCAACCTCCGCCTTGAAGGTGTGTGTGCCCGACCTAAATTCAAGACTACAAACACATCGAAGCGATATACATTTGAATTGACATAATATTTAAACAACCACACGCTACGTTAGCATTTGGGCTTATAGTACCAGATGTTGTCCAAGCCTTAACAAACCATACGATCCAAAACAACAGTGGCTGCTTGAAAAAACAAAAAAAAAACGAACGGTTTTGTGTAGCAAACTCAATGCGCAGCGAGAGCGGAAGAGCAGCGTGCCGCTCGAGCCCTGCCGAGGAGGCCACGTGCGGCCTCTGTCGTGGAGGGGGGGGCCCTCTCGGAGGGCCCAGGCCGGGGGGGGGGCCCGCGCGTCGTCGCGAGGCGGCGGCTACAGACGCAAGAGTGGCCTTTCGCCGGAGTGGCCTTTGGTGCGGGCGCAGCCCTCGGGCCCCGACCCGCGAGGCGGACCAGAGGGCCGCCCTGCATCCTGCGGGTGGCCCGGGCTGCGGGCCCTCCCTCCTCCCGACACCCCCCTCGGGCCCCCCCCCCCCCCTCGGATCCCTCCGCCCGGCGGGCGCCGCCGCGGTGCGGCCGCCGAGGCCGCAGTGGCCGTGGCGGCGGCCACAGCCGCCGTGCGGCGGGTGCGGAGGGTGGAGGTTCGAGGGCTGAAAAGCGGAGCAGTCGCGGCTGCTTCCTCGCCCGGGTTGGGTCCCCCCGCGGCCCCCGGAAAGTAAAAGTCGAGCACCAGAGGTCACCCTTGCCCAGGGTCCCTCTGGCGCGTAGGCAAAGGCAACTCGGGGGGGGGGCCTCGGAGCGGGCCGCCTCTGGGCCGCCCTGGCGGCGACTGCAGTCGGGGGCGGCGAAGAGGGGGGTGATGACTGGGGGGGGGAGGGATATCATGGCGGGGGCCATGATATCTTCCCAAATTTCGTGGCGCCTCTTCTTATATCATTGCGTCCCTGGCCCCCCCCCCCCATGGGCCGCGTTCATGCCGCCGGTCATGATTTGCAACCCCCCCTCTTGGACACCCCCTCTTGGCCGCTCCCGATACAAAGGGTATGGTTGCGCCAGGGAGCGGTTTGCCACTGGCACCGCTGGGGCCTGGGGAGCATGACACTGTTCTCGTTGCGCCTCCCCGGGGCGCGGCGGAGGGCTATTATCGAAGTCCACGCCCGCCCCCCAGGGTGCCCCCCGGGGTGCCAGCTGCAAACCACACCCTCTGCGCACCGCACCCCTCGGAGTCGCCGAACCCTGGGCAGTGCTGGGGCTGTCCAGGAGGGCCAATCTCGCAGGCCTAGAGGTTGACACCAACACCAATATCGGCGGCGTGCCTCCGCCGAGGGAAGAAGATCCCGATCTCGGTGGTTTTGGTAGTATTATGGCTTCCAAGGTGACCGAAATATTGCCACCAACACCGAAATCTAGGATCAGATTCCCCATGTGGATGCAACCCCCTGTGTTGGTGTTGGTGCCGATTTCTAGGCCTCCAACAGCCGGGGGATGCTTGGGGCCTCGGGCAATCTCGGGCGATGCGCGAGGCATTTCTGGGTGCAGTCGGGCGTGTCCCTCTACAGGCGGAACATTCAAAAATAGTCAACAAAGAATAGTATGGGGACGATTGGTCGATCATGTGTTGGGCATGTTGGAGCATGTTTTATTATGTTTTTAACTTGCGCCCAGAATCCGCCTGTGGGGCGACATGCCCGACCTAACTCGTGGGGGTCTCGGAGGGATGGGGCACGCTGCGGCGACCTCGAGCAGTCATTCGGCTATGCTGGAGCGTGCGGCGGCCATCTTGAAAGCCAGGTTGGCAGAGCATGCGAGCAAGAAGCCGACATGCAAGCACCGCGCTGAGCATACAGTGCCTCCATGGTTGACTCTCTCTCTCTCTCTCTCTCTTTCTCTCGGGGACGCACTGTGGCCCGGTTGGCGCCTTCTTGGGCAAGCGGGACGGCAAGCGAGACCAGCAGCTCGGCAGTGCAGCATTGACCCCCACAGCACGACACCACTGCAGGTGGCCTGGACGGCGGCATTGCAGATCGTTGCACTCAGGCTGGCAAAGTCAGGGACCATGAAGAGGTGCAAATCAACGAACAGTGGCACCAGTGCAAGCAAGGGCTGTAGCAACCAACACATGGGGGCCGGTTGCCAACTACTCCTAGCTCATCGTGCGCATCATGTTTCTAGATCTGCGCCAACTATGAAATACTATGTGCATGCGTATCAGAGAGCAGCGCTGAGAATAACAGTATCAGAGGATGCTGCTCTTAGCCATGATACCGATGCCGATCGAGATCCTGATCTCCTTCGGGCTCGTGTATTTCGCCTCGCTGAAGACAGTGGTGCTGTTCTACGCGCTCATGATGATGCTCATGATGTGCACGTCGCTCTCGTTCGACTACGCCCTGTTCATGCTGACCCGGTACGCGGAGGAGCGTGCTGCAGGCGAGCCCGTGGACCGCGCCATCGTGACTGTCATCTCCCAAGGAGGGCGCGTGGTGGTGGTCTCTGGCATCGTGCTGATCATCGCGTGGGGGTCCATGGCCGGGCTGCCAGTACCCTTCAACACTTTCTCGCTGAGCTCCTGCACGATGATCGCGGTGTGCGTGCTGGTGCAGCTGACCTTCGTGCCCTCGCTGCTGGCGATCATGCCGTTCCTGGGCCCACCGGCCGCCAAGAGGCGAGGCGCAAGCCTCGATGCCGGCGGGGGCCACGGCAACGGCCACGGCTCCGCCGAGGTCCAGGGGGGGAACTGATCTCGGGCCTCTCGAAGGAAGAGGATATCAGAGGAGGCGATCGTGCCCATTCCGCTACCCTTCCCTCGTTGTCCCCTTCTTGGGCCTCCCGGGAGGTCCTTGTCGCCACCGTTGGATTCGCCGCGAACCCCCCGCCAGAGCGCACCCTAGGAGAGGTCTGGGGAGCAGCGGTATCGGTACCTCTTAGGTTTCCCCAGAGAAGATACGGTAGAGGGAAACAATTAGTGGACAGTCCCCCTCTCCGCCCAACTCAAAGTTGGCGCGCGCGGACGGTCGAAGTGCAACTCATCAGACCCACCGCCAACTTAGAACATTGGGGAGAGGGGGAAGGCGTTGGCCGATGAATGTGGCACGACTGCTCGGTTTTGTAAAGGCTTTACGGCCGGTGCCGCCGACCCAGAGGGACGACGACGACCACGACCACGACCGCGACGACGACCACGACGACAACGACAACGAATCATCAGGGGCAACTCGGATAGGGCGAACTCGGGTTCGATGTTCCGGGATTCCGAACCCGAATTGCCCCAGGCCCGAGTTATACCACAGGTGATTCGGGCGTCTGGAGCCCCGAATCATCAGGGGCAACTCGGGTCAGGGCTAACTCGGGTTCGATTTTCGGGGGTCCAAACCCGAGTTATCCTGGACCCGAGTTACCCAGGATAATTCGGGCGCCCAAGAGATCGAGGTCGGTTCTGGGAGGGTGCCTTGATGTTTTTCGTGCTTGTTGGATATCGTAGCAGGTGCCATGTCGCTCTGCACATGCACTTTTCAAGTACGAGCTGGCGAGGTATCCGATCCAGGTCGCATCGGGAAGGGTGCACTGATGTTCTTCGTGTCTGTTGGACGTTCTTGTGCATCTTGGGGGAGGGCAGCCCTCGAATGTTCTTCCGTTTGGCCAGCGGAGGGTCTGATGTCGTTGAAGGATGTTCTTCTGTCCCAGGTCCGGCCGTACGTGAGTTGATTCGCTCGACCCGCCCTCTGCTATCCATCCTCCTTCTCCGACCCAACCATCACTCCCGCGGAGGGCACCTGCACCCAACCACCATCATGCCTGACCAGGGTCATCCCGAGCCCTGGGAGGGTGTCTAGACCCTGCTGGCCTGGGCCAGTAGGGCGTATACACCATGCCGGGGCCCAGGATTGGACGCCCTCTGTGTATCATTGTCCCCTTGCCTTGTTTTGTTTCGCTCGTTCCCCCGTGCCCCTCCTCTTCTTTGAGAGTGGGGGGGGTCATGGTGGTGGGCGCGGGTGCTCGGCGGATGTTTCCGCCGCAGGAGCATAGCGCCTTCACCAAGGCCCAGCCGCACATGCAGGGCATCGGGTTCTGGTTGGGCAGGTATCTCACCGCGTTCCCGCTGAACATCATCGTGCCCATCATCATCTACACGGCGATGATGCCGCTGACGCTGCGCATGAGCAAAAATTTTGAAATTGATGGTATGTTCAGCTTCAAGTTCAAGATGGGTCACAGCTTTGCACTAGGCATCCCCAGATCTCGCGAGGAGTGGAGCACTGCTCTTGAGATTCAGGATAGCTTCCCTAGTTCGGTTGGCATCATGATGCCCATGCTTATAATAGGGACCGGGCCATCCGAGCCGGACTCGTCCCGACAAGTTATCACAGACGGTTCGACGCCAATCGACGTGAAAAGCGAGAAGTTCTTCCACGCAAATTGCCAGATGGCCAATGCGCTCATCGAGGCGACGAGCGGGAAGCCCTACGCGCTAGGCGCGGACAGCTTCGTCAGCGGCACCTTCCACGGCGAGGCCGACGACGGCGACGCGGTAAAGTGCCTGTCCCCGCGGCTCATCAACGCGGTGCGCACCAACTATATCACCAAGCATTGGCTGTTGCGGAAGACGTCTGCCAACTTGCAGCAGCTGTGGGACCAAATCGTCAGCGGGAACGGCGACGCGATGCTCACCTTTGTGTTTCCCGTCACGGACCCCTTCAGCCCCGACGCGTTCTCGCTTGTGGACGACGTGCGGTCCACGCTCCGCAACCAGAATTTGGCCGCGCAGGACCCGCAGGCGCCGATCCCGGGACTCACATTCACCATGTTTTCGCCCGGCAGCGTTGTGATGGACCTCATCGATGTGACGTCACGCCGGCTTCCGCAGACGTTCATGGCGTGTGTTGTGTTGAGTCTCTTGCTCATCGGGTTCTGGTTCAAGGCGGTCCTGATCCCTTTCAAGCTGCTTCTCACGGTCGTCGTGCCGATCACCTGGACTTACGGCGCCGCCCTCTACGTGTACGAAGACGGCGTGATATCGTGGTTGGGATTCCCAGGCCTGTCACCGTTGGAGGATCTCCTTCGAAGGAGAAAAAGTTGCATAAACATAACGTTTGGCGCTCTGCGCGGATCTCTTGGATCCGCGCTGGACCCCCAAGAAATCCGCGCGGAACGCCAAAGTTTACGTTCATGCCGTTGTCTCTTCTTCTGTTCCCCCCAGTTTTCCCTCCTGCCCCTCCCCCCTCCCGGACCTCCCCGTACCACTCTTCCACCCCTCCCCCCCCCCCTCATCTCCCTCCCTCCCCTCTCCCCCCCTCCCTGCCGAGGACTTCGGCATCGACTGGACCGTCCCTCTGTTCACGCTCACGTTCATCGTCGGGCTGGCCTTCGACTACGAGATCTTCCTGATCGAGCGGGCCCGGGCCCCGGCCCGCCGCCGGCGGGGCTTCGCTTCCGCCCCAGTTGGGTCCGCCAGTCCTGGGAGGCCCAAAAGCTTGGTCGCCCTTCCTGGGAGGCCCACCAAAATTTGCTCCGCCATCCCTGGGAGGCCCAGGGCCTCCAGGGGCCCGAAAGTTTGGTCGCCACTCCTGGGAGGCCCAGAAGTTTGGTCCGCCATTCCTGGGGGGCCCAGGGCCTCCAGGGGCCCAAAAGTTTGGTCGCGCCACTCCTGGGAGGCTCACTTCACCGATCGGCACCCCCGTGGCCGGAAGCCGCCTGGTCCAGCGCCGTCCCGCCTCATTCCGCCGAGGCCGCCTCGCTCCCGGGCCCAGCACGGCCTCGTTCGGGGTCGGCAGAGGGGGAGGTGATGACTAGGGGGGTGGACATCGTGGCGTGGGCCATGATATCTCCCCAGGTTTCAGGTCGCCTCTTCTCATTTCGTCACGTCACGTCCTCGCCCCCCCCCCCCGCCTGGGCCGCGCACATGCCGCCGGCCATGATTTGCGCCCCCCCCTCTTGGACGCCCCACCTCTTGGCCGACCCCGATGTTTGATCGAGGTCGGCTCTGGATGGGTGCCCTGACGTTCTTCGTGTCTGTTGTCGAGGTCGAATCTGGGAGTCAGCGCAGATTCCTCTGGTCCAGCGCCGACCCTGACTCCTCCCCCTCCCCCTCCTCCTCCTCCTCCTCCTCCCCCCCCCTCCTCCTCCTCCTCCTCCTCCTGCTCCTCCTCCTCCTCCTCCTCTGACTCATCTGGCCTGGTGGTTTCTCCCTCGGGCCTGAGAGCCCTCCCTGGTTCTCACGAAGGCCTCCCAGAAGCGGACACAGCCGAGGAGAAGAAGCCACAAGAATGCCCAGGAGGACCTGCCCCCCGCCGAGCCTCGAGGCCCGAGGGCCCCGCTGCGGGCACGGTCGACCCGCACAGTAAGGATGGGCAGCCATGTAATTCGGTCGTGCCCCTCTATTTTGGCATCGCTCGGACGTGTGCATTTTTCCTTCGGCGAGGGCCATCGAGGAGCATCCTTGATCATTTGGCGAAAAAGCCACGCACAAAACCAAAAAAAAAAAAAAAACAGGGAATGAACGTCCGAGCGATGGCGAGTACAGGGGGAATATTCAAAAATGGCTCCCCAATCAGAGCTTGCCTCTGCAGGGGTCCTATAGCGGATTCAGATGGTCAGGTGAGGTGGGGCGCCAATTTGGTGGCCGGGTGCCCGGGTGCCCGGGTGCTGCCCGTGGGTGCCCGGTGCCCCAGGATTTCGGTGGGGGTGCCCGGGGTTGCCCGGGGGTGCCCGGGCACTTTACAGCCATATAGCCCTATAGCCTTATAGCTCTATAGCCCAATAGCCCAATAGCCCAATAGCCCGTATAGCCCATATAGCCTAATAGCCCTATAGCCATATAGCCCTATAGTCCTAGCCCTATAGTCCTATAGCCCTATAGGCCTATAGCTCTATGGCCCTATAGCCCTAGAGCCCTAGAGCCCTAGAGCCCTAGAGCCCTATAGCCCTATAGCCCTGTAGTCCTGTAGCCCCCTATAGCACAATAGCCAGATAGCCCTATAGCACTATGCCCCTATAGCCATATAGTCCATATAGCCCCATTGCCCCAACAAAAATATGATTGATTTTTTTCTCCGGTATCAGTTTAAATAGTCTGGGGACGATTTGGGGGGATTTCTTCATTATTTGGGGTGCATTGTTCGAGTATGTTTTACTTTTCGTCCAAAGTCTCCCTGTAGGAGGACATGCCCGCCCCAAGGCAACCTTCCCAAGGGCACCCTTGCGTCCTTGCCTCCTCGATCCGTCCTCGGCCGCTCTCGTTGGCCGCGCCCCGCTCGAGGAGCCGCCCAACGGGCGCCCCGCTCGAGCAGCTGCGAAACATCCCGCGCGCGCCTCCTCGCCCGTCGGGCCGACCTGTAGCCCCTCCCGCCCTCCGCGATATCCGGGGCCCCGCCCTGGCCGGTATATATGCAGGTCCAGGGGGCCTTCCCGAGTCCAGCCGGCGTCCGCCGCAGTGCAATCGTTGACGTGATGACCGATGCGGGGAGGGCCCGGGGGCAGACAGGCTCAAGTCTTGTTTTATCAAATTCGGTTTATGTTCTAACATTTCTGGGTTCTAAGAACATGTCGTGGCAGGCCTGTAGGAATGCTGGGACGGTCGGTCCCTGCTCAACAGGCTGGATGCACAATTGCGGTCTGTTGGACAAGTCTGGGCGTTCGTCCTCTTCGTCTGTGTCTTTCTCCCCTTTCCCCCCCTCGTCTTGCTCCGGTTCCTCCTCCTCCTCCTGCTCCTCGTCCGCCTCCTCCTCCTCCTCCTCGCCATCCTCCTCCCCCACCTCTGACTCTGGCTCCGTACAATAGCCATCCGCCACTCCCCATCCTCCTCCTCCCTCCTCTCCCCGTTGCTCCACCTCCTCCTCCTCCTCCTCCTCCTCCTCCTCCTCCTCCTCCTCCTCCTCCTCACCATCAAACCCAGACCTCCGGCGTCGCCTCTTTGTTTGTGCGTGGCCCCGTCGCACCCGGACCGCTCGACCCTTGCCAGGGTGCCTCTTCTCCCGCAGCCTGCATCCTTTCTTGGTGGCCGCGATGCCCCAGGGCCCACGCGGGCCGAAAACAGAGGGAAGACATTCGGCATCGAAGCGGCCGCGACGCCGAAGGCGCGGGCAGCTCGTGCCTCGCCTTCCATCGTGCCTCTGGGCAGCCCGATCGGCCGGCGGCGAACAGACCAGGGTGTGGCGAGGGTGGCATTCTGAGAAGGCGGGGAGCGGAGAGGCCGAGGGGGAGGGAGCAGGAGGAGGAGGAGGAGGAGCAGGAGGGAAGAGGAAGAGGAGGAGGAGGAGGAGGAGGAGAAAGAGGAGGAAGAGGAGGAGGAGGAAGAGGGAGAGAGGGGGGGCGAAGGAGGGAGGACGGAAAGATGAGAAGGATGTGGGGAATGAGGAAGAGCGGAGAGCGATGTGTGGAAGGATGTGATGAATGAAGAAGATGAGAAGGATGTGGGGAAAGATGAGAAGGATGTGGGGAATGAGAGAGAGAGAGGTTCAGAGCGAAGCGGGAGCTGGGAGAGCAGGAGGAGGAGGAGGAGGAGGCAGTTTACGTAAGAGGGAGGTGGGTGAGGACGAAGGAGGTGGGGGGGAGCAGGCTTCCCGCGATCGGAGAAGGGGAGGGGGCCGCCAGCGCCGAGGTCCGGGAGTTCCGCGAGGAGGGCTTCGGGGACAGGGAGTCCATCCAGTTGGGCCGACGGGCTGGGCCAGAAGCGCTCCCCCACCTTCCCTCCTCCTCCCTCCTTGGGGGCCTCCCTTCTTCCTGTCCTTCTCCTTCTGCTCCTCCTCCCCCTCCTCCTCCTCCTCCTTCTCCTCCTCATCCTCCTCTTCCTCCTCGTCCTCCTCCTCCTTCTCCTCCTTCCTCCTCCTCCTCCTCCCTCCCCCTCCTCCTCCTCCTCCTCCTTCTCCTCCTCCTCCTCCTCCTCCTCCACCTGATCCTTCTCCTCATTCTCCTACTCCTTCTCCTTCTCCTTCTCCTTCTCCTTCTCCCTCCCCCTCGCCACTTCCGCTCCTCCCAAGCTCCCTCAGCGGAGCAGGCTGACAGGTCCGGCACTGCCAGCCAGGTCACCCAGGGGTGTCCCATTCGTGGACGTTGCTCCTTTCTACTCCCGCCGATCTCGGTGGGATGTGCCACCCCGAATTCCCCAACATGTGCGGAGTGCTGTCTCTGACGTGGTGAGGCCGTTGAGGCCAAAAAACAATTCCCAAGCTCTCTCACCAAGCCTCGTTGCGTGATTCCCGACCCCGAACAAGACCTCTGGGAGGGTTCTGGAGGAGGCCGCGGCGATCGCGGCGGCCACAACTCGGGGGAAGGTGTTTGGGCAAGGAGTGGCATGCCCCTTCCCAGCCCACCCCCGCCCCCCTTTCCGCGATTCAGAAGTGGCTCAGAAGTAGCAAAATGGCGACAGAGAGTCAACGGTAGCCAGGTTGTTTGCCTAGGGGTCGATTGGGCTCTGGAAGTATTGAGTTTGTCTCCTTGGTTGTCGACAGGTCGAAGAGCCTGTACCAGGGCAGTGCAGGGGCAAGGGCCAGTCAGACGAATGTGTGTTGGTCGTCCTGGGCCACAAGGTGATCGCATTCCCTGCCTGTGCTCATGGCAACCATATGCTTGCTTGAATCACGTGCAGGTGCAATAACACCAGAGAAATTTCAAAACCCAATCAGTGGATGGTTTGATCGATAAGGAGATCGACCGGGAACCCGGGAACCCAGAACCCACCGAAATCGACCCAGAATCAATAACCAGGAACCCGGGAACCCGGCAACCGGGAACTTGGGAACCCAGCCGGCCACCAAAATCGGCGGGAAATGCTCGCCAAATCTTTCAATTTCCGCTCGGACCCCCTCAGTGCAAGCACTGATTGGAGAATAGACGCCACAAGGTGATCGCATTCCCTGCCTGTGCTCATGGCAGCCATCTGCTTGCCTGAATCACGTGCAGGTATCATAGACCGTGAGGATCGGTGGTTCAGCTTAGCCTCGCAAAGGGGTCGACCCACAAGACACGCGGCATAGGGTCGGCGGAGCCGCGCAGAGGCGTCCACCCGGAGGCTTCGCCACAAGCGTGGTGTGGTTGGCATTCTCGGCATCTTCGGATCCAAGGCATGATCGCGTCGCTAACAAATCAGGACGGCAGGTTTTTGGCCAATTTCGGCCCCCCGCCGGGGCTCAGGACCGTGAAAAAACGAATCAGGACGAAGAACCGGTCCCAGGGAAAGGGTCGGACTTCCAGGGACCCCGTATCGAAAAAAGCAGGACGTCGCATGTCTGGGATCAGACCAGAGGGCTGACAGCAGCAGTGGTGGCCTCGGGTCCGACCCTGGGCGACCAGCTTTATGATGTTGCGGCCGCCCCTTCGCGGTGAAGAGGCGGTGCATGATGCTCCTCGTGCTGCCCGCCAGGGCAAAGGTCTGGCAGCCGGCCACGCGC